GGAGCATGAAAGCTCTGCTTGTCATTATTTTTCACATTCATATTAGGGATTTTAGAATGAAGTTGTTCATCTTTAAACTGGTTTTATAATATTATATCGGATTTGGCAAAATAAAGCAAGTGCTGCAGTAGTGTCTAACAGCAGATGTTTTCCAATAGTGATATGGAAAAACCAATGCTGGATTCTTGATTCAATTGGACCATATTTAAGATGTGTATTGTATTTTTGTGCTGTTGGAGCAGTAAGTCTTGTTAATCAGTTCATAAAACGGTAGGATTAGAAAAAATGCACTGAAGGTGTAAAACAGTCAACGCCAGGAGAGTTTGCAGAGTAGCTTAATAAATAAAACATAATTGGATAAAATGGGCAAGTAATGAGTTGAGGGCAGCCCAAATGTGTAATTTCTTGGGGTCAGTGGCAATGCATCAGCTAGCAGTGCCTCTGGGTGAAGCCTGGAGGTGTTGTGGTGTTGTATTAACAGGGCTGTGCTGTTGGGGTGCCTCGTTTTATCCTGCTCCCCCAGCACTTCCAGGGGACGCAGGACAAACGCTGGCTTCAGTCGCCAGTGGCGCGCCAACCACGGCACGTGCTTTTGATTTCCCTCAGGAGAGAGGGAGGAAAATGCCTCTTATTAGGAAAAGAAACCTAAGGGCTGGGGTTAGCAGGGAGGGGAGCCATGAGTGCTGGGCGCGGTGCTCCCTGCCTGGCTGTGCTCACGGAGCAGCAGCAGCACACGAGGGATGGTGTTGGCTCTGGCCCCACAAGGCCATCACAGCTTCAAGCAGCACCCACCTGCTCCCTAAAGAGCAGCAAATCCCCTCTTCCTCAGATCAAATCTGTAGGCAACATCAGTATTCCTGCTGGAAGTAGGAGCACGATCTCTACGTTCACAGCATTCGGTTTTAGCCTTTCCTGGGCGCTGCCGCTGCTCGGGTTCCACCTGGGCACTCGTGTGTGGCTCCTCTGGGGAAGGCAGTGGCAGCTCCCAAACCTGAGGCTTCCAAGATGCCCCTGGAGGCCCCTGCTGTCCCGCCCATCCCTCTTCTGGGAGAGTGTGCTCTGTGTGATGCTGCATAACTAAAACCCATCACAGCCTGGCTTATCAGGCAGCATCAATCGGTAAGGCTGGTTTAGCACCTCAGTTGATGATGTTAAAAAATAGCAATACCCTCTCCCTAGTAACAAATGCTAATCCATGGGCTACTGATAACGGATCTTCAGACCTGCACCACAATGAGAACCATATAATTGGGCAAAAAAATTGTGTATCCACAAAATTAAGCACACACGCGAGCACTCCCAGTGTCATCTGTCTTCCATACCAAATGCACGGCAGCGCCGGCTGCTAAAACTTGCCATGAATTATTTATGTGATGAATTATCCTTCTTTCTCCCCTCCTAGAATATCCAATTGCCCGTTTCCATTTTTGTTTCAGAAAGATTTATTATTCAGGATTTTTTTTTTCACTGGATAACTTTATTAAACATTTCCTGCTCTTTTTTCTCCACTGTACATAACACGCATCTTGTTTCCTGGTAGCACCTATCCATCCACTCTAACAGGGCCTCCCAGTGTGGGGAAACTGGGAGGAGTGCAGTTTTTACCCAGACAGTTTACAGCCCTCCTTGGGATCCAATTAGAGATGTTCAAAATTTGAGATATTTATTTGCTCACTGCAATCAAAGCTGTTTCAGCCCCCAAGGAAGCGATCCACGGCTACAGACTGCATGTGGACGAATAATTTGGTTACTCAGTTCCCTGGAAGCCTCTGAGAGGGTGGGAGGAGAAGGTGAGTGCCCAGAGAGAAATCATCCAGAGGTTTGCTGCTCTTCTGCCCCTTTAGTTTATCAGTTTTGCCCCAAAGGCATAAGGAACAGCATTTTACACTTGAGGACTTCTTGCCTTGGGTGTTTTATGTGACCATGCCTGGGACCTGTTCCTGTAAATGATTGTGAATCATTTCTGGTTCCAGGGAGGAATGTTTCAATGCCAATTTTCTGGGAGCTGGGATAGCAGCTGGGACTATCCTAGCTACTATTTAATGGATTTCAAAGGAATCACCTACACGGCAGAATTTTCTGTGTTTGGCTTTCATTGCTTGGTTTCCATTTAGGAGGCTGCCCCATTATTCCTTTCAGACATTCCCATAGTTTCCAGCATCGAAATCCCAAATCTGCTTCCTCTATCTGCACTGAATGTTTTTGTACCTTGTAAATTTTGGGAGAGGCAAATCTTGTTGTGGAAGTGCTTTAACTGTGCCTCTGGCTGGGAGTCTCGCTCTGTGCTGGGCTTTAAATCACGACGGAGATTTACAGCGGCGATAGAGGTGGAACCGCAGGCATCCAAAACAAGAGTGATCTGTGCAGAGGAGCTGGTGTGCACACACCCCTGCAAATAATATCCCAGGGATGTCACATTGCTTCCCCTGGAACCACAGACAGTGATACCCCCTAAGAACAATAGCACTAAAACTGTCCTTGGCTTCAAAATAATCGGTTTGCCTGTGTGCGAAGCGCACGGTCGCCAGAGCTCTTTGGCTGGGTAGCAATATTTTACCTCTAATGACCTCAAACCCAAGCCAGCCGTTTCTGCAGGCTCTACAAAACCCTGTTGTGCCATGAACTGCACCCGGAGGTAGCTGCTGCTTTCACCTGAGCACATCCCTGCCTGCTGCCTCCTGCACGCTCCGAAGGCTTGGGGGGAAGCCCATCAGAATGTACCAGGTTTTCTTCACTAATTTTGGCTTTCTCATTTAGTCAGCTTCTCCCATCTTCGGATGATTGAATCTCCGTGTCTTCTGCATCACAAGAGGAGCACATGTAGTTGGCTGAGATTTTTCTATTGAGGTGTTGCAGTTGGAAGGAAACAGTCCTCTAGGAAGAGAGAAGTCGGGATGCTGTGTGCAAATACCAGGTATTTTTTAGTTCTCCTTAAACATGCATAAATTAATCTTAAACTCGTGTCTTTCTCCCTTCCCTAAACTCCTACCCTTAAAACCTATTTGAAAACGATGAATAGAGTTGTTAAATATGTAAAAATAGGGACGTGAGAACAGAAGGATAACTGGATGGGGGCTCCCACGGGGCTCTTTTCCTTAATCCTGGGTTCCTTTTGGTGCACTTATATTTCTGAGCAGACCCTTGAGCAGAATACTGGCTGGCTGGACCCTGCTGCTCTGTGAGTTGACAGAGTGGGAGGTAAGTGGCAGTAACTAATGGCAATTAGCAGAGGTCTGGATGGCTGTGTGTCCCTGAAGGCATGAGCTCTTCTGGGGGTTGTGTCTTCACAGAGTGGAGCTGTTTGTCACCCTACAGAATATGACAATTTGCATCCCTCCACCGAGGCTTTGCTGTCAGATTTGCTCAGCTGTCTTGTGAGGAGGGGAAAAAAAAAATAAAAAAATAAAAAAATGTTTATTTAATTTTTGCTCCCCAAATCTGTTGAAATAATAGGGCAGGAATGATTAGCTTCTGGGAATTACCCATCAGCTGCTATCAGTAATAACTTGTTTAATGCTTATGTAGCACTTGACGTTTTTATGACTGACGTGCCAGAAGGGAAACAAAAAGAGACGGGTTTGTTTTTAAATGGCAAAGGATAGTTTTTGTCTTTTCGTTGCAGCTCTCAGGTAACAGTAAGAAAATTGTCTCTCGGTCTCGCCAAACCTGAAAGCTGCCTCTGACCAAAACGTGAGGAGAGAGAAGGTGAGAGGCTGAACACGCAGCTTCGAGACCCGTTTGCTCAGTTGCAGGAGTGTTTCATAAATCCCATTTCTCACGCATCCTTGACGGTCTCTCCCGCCTCCATCGCTGTCGGGATGTTCCGCAGCGTTCCCGCAGCCCCGACAGATTCAAGCAGCGGCTGCGTGAAAGGAGAGGAGCGGGAGCGCCGCGTCCCCCGTCCCCCCCGCATTCCCCCCCCGTCCGGGCTTTGCTTTCGGGCAGGATCCAACCCTCCAAGATGGATGTTGAGTAGGCTCTGGCAGCGCAGCCGGGCGCGGCACAAAGCCGGGCGCTGTCCCTGCGCGGCTGTGCCGGGGGCGGCGGGCCGGGCCGTGCT